TGAAGAGTAATAAAGTATTACAAGCGGACACTTATACAGTTATCATTCAAATTAAAGGCTGTAAATATTTATAATATATAGTTTGCTGTCACTGATTAAGAACATACTCTAATATTGCATTTTATAATGGTAAAGGAGAAAAAGAAAAAAAAAAAGAAGATTTGGAATAAATTGTTAGAATCTACACTAGCTTTGAACCATCATTGCTTGTCGTTAATTTTTTTTACGTCTAACATGAGACATGTTCTGTGTACGTTCAAATTTGTCGAGAAAATATTTTCGAGCACCGGATACAATGTTATTAAAAAAAAAAAAAAAAAAACTTACATGGCTAGGGATTAATAATGTTGAATCACAGCAGAAAAACTTTTCTTTTGATCATTCCCCTTTCTCAAAGATTTTTAATACTTCTCTAACTCAAAATTAGAAAAATAAAAGATATATAATATTTCCTCTCTTTACATTGGCTTCTTTTCTGATGATACCCATCGGCCATCACAGCTTTGTTACCAAAATTCCCTCACTTTCTTAGCTCTTTTTCCTTTCATGATGGACTTGGTTATTGTACAGTACATGTCAACCCCCAACCCAAAGGCCAAACATTTCTTTTACCCTTTTTGCCTTTTTCCTCTTTTTTGCTTTTTCGCACCCCAATATATATCCCACAAAAAAAAAAAAAACTAAATTACAAAATTCGATAAAATTTTTGTTTCTGGGTTATCTTAAGGTTCAGAGACAGCAATTGTCCAATCCCTTTCTGGGATGAATTTCGTCAGTGATGGTGATATGTATTGTGTACAATTATTGAAAATAACAGTAATCAATTAGTCATACAATTACTAATAATTTTGTACACGATGGGGCAAATAATAACAAGGACCTAGGTATACTTTGCAAGGTGTACCTTATGGGCATGTGTAATGCACTCTCTTTTTACACAAGTTGTTTTATTTTTTTCCTAATTTTCAGTTATACGCACATTAAATCCTCCAAATCTCAACCCTTTTTTTTCTCACACATTTAATTTTAAACTGTTTTCTTTTTTACTTATCGTGTTATCTTTTATATTATTTTATTTTATGAGAAATTTTTTTTTTATAGCTATGGATTTAATTTGGGTAAAATTGAATATGATTCATTATCGAGACTTATGAATCTGAAGAATCAATTGCAGCAAAAAATTTGAACTAATTATCAACAAAATTTGGAGAATTAAGCGTCAAATATGGAAGATTTTAATACATAACGATGTTTGTTTGGATGAATAATATTATGCTTATCGATGAATAATGATAATATTTTGAATGAATAATGGTGTTCTTATAGTGACAAAGTTATGGATAAATAAATTTAAAATTTTGAAATGAATATAGTTATCTACAATGATGAATAACGAAACAAATGTTGATCAATAATGATCACATCCAAGATGAATAACAATACTAAAATGAAGAATAGATATATATTTGCATGATGAATACACATATCTACGTAATGAATAACACATGTTCAAACGATGAATGACATATATTTACAAGATGAATAACACTATTTTACAGTATTAATAACACCAGTTATTGTTTTTAACATATACCGTCTTGAATGATTCGCCGATGCTCAAATCTATACGGTGATTATTTGATTTCAGCAACTCTGCCAAATATTTGATTTCCGACCGATCGAGTTCATTTTGATAAACATTTTTTTTGCCGCTGATCAAATAAAAAGAACATTACAATAAGTGCAATTTCATATTCAATCAAAAACTCTGTTAATCATCAATAACAATACTATTAAAGATGAATATCATTTTGAAAATGGTAATATTACCTTTTTCTAATACATGTGTCCTGTATTCCTCTTTTTTTTTTCTTTTTTTTTTACAGATGACTCTATCTCCACTTCAATACTAATATGTGATGGTGTTTTTTTAGATCCACTAACTCCACTTGTTGCAACGTCCGGTTGCTTCCCCCTATCCTTACTGCTGCATTATGCCAAGAAATTACAATTTTCATAAACTAATGGGTAATACATTATCACTTAATGAATAACAACAATTCATTTGAGGTATAACCATAAATAACGAGCTCCATCTGATTGACAACAACACCAAAATTGATGAACAAGCATATGTATGTTCAGCTTTCACACATGCAATACTGATGCAGTAATGATAATCATTACACCAATGATGAACAATGGACACAAATGACATTAACAATTCGATAAGAATTAATATTGGATGAACAACAATATCAGAATTGATGAATAACCACATATTATCATTGTTCATTCATCAAAATTATAAACTTTTTGACAAACAGATGAATAACGAGTTTTAATTAAATGAATAGCAGCACAAAACGCATGAATATGTATGAAAAAAAAATAATTTTCTTTGTAAAAAAATCCAATATCCATATAACAACGACGAATAGTTGTTGAACAACAACAGCATATTCGATGAACAATCATACAATAATGAATGTCAAACCTTAGACCTGCAAAACCCCCCATCAGAAAACAAAAATTGAATAATAAAAATTAATAGTAGATGAACAATAATGACATAGTTGATGAATAACCACATATTATCATTGTTCATTCCTCAAACTTGTAAAAAACTTGTCAAACAGATGAATAACGAGTTGTCATAAAATGAATAACAGTACAAAATGCATGAATATGTATGAAAAACGACGAATAGTTGATGAACAACAACAATTTTTTCGATGAACAACCATAGAATAATAAATGCCAAACCTTAGATCTGCAAAATCCACCACCAGAAAACAAGAATTGAAGTGATTACCTAGTTCCCATATGGGATTTTGCAGAGCTTTTTTCATATGAGGATTGATACTTCCATCCTTCTACATAATATGTGAAAATTAATGAACAATCCCATTTCGTGAACAAACCCAAAAAATACAAAACCAGAAAAAAAAAAGAGTGAATAAGATGATTTATTACCCGAATCCTCATGTTGTATTGAATTTATTGGATTAAAAAATCCAGATTCTTGATGAACAAAACGAATTTGATATCGCTGCCGGCGTGATAACGAAAACTAAGGTTTGACGATGGCGATTCTGGCGTTCCAGTATGAGGATTCTCGCAGCAAGGATGATTTTTTGGTTTTGAAAATCCTTCTGGTTTGATGCGAATTAGAATTGATGAGATAAGAAGTTGGATAATGATAATGGCCGGAAATTAGGAGAAAATGGCGGTATTGAAATTTCAAACGTCGCCGCAGAATGTACGATTAAATGAGTGCGTGTATTTTACTCGAATGACATTCTTGTAAATAAGTGAATTTTCTTGGTATTTAAGCACGTGAGTTACACACCAATGTGTACCTAAGTGTTTTATATTATAACTGGACACGAGAGTGACTGCTTTTAATACCAACAGTGATTAATCTTTTTATTAAGTTATTTACACCTCGACGAATAAGATAATTAACACGTAAATAGATTATCTAACCTGTGATTAAAAAGATTAAATTGCGTTCCTAATTTAATTATAACTATATTATTAAAGCTAATTGATTATAATGTGAAGGGAATTTCAAGGTTGCCGGAAACTATAAGTGACCTGTCGGTGTGGTGGCCTGAGAAAAAAAAAATAAAGTGAATAACAACAAGCTCCGCCCTCAAAAGATTAAAAAGAAAGGCTTCTCCGGTCTGCTATTTGGGGGAAAATATGGCTTTTGTAAATTCAGCACTTAATTTAAGTAATTATAAATTAATTAATCACTGGGCTCATCAAATTCTAATAGTACATCTGGGATAACGTTAATATGGGTCAATTCGTAGAGTGTTGACTTTTCTTTTTTGGGTGGATTAGTGGTCGGAACTTGGGGACAAACATTCAGAAACTATGGCGTCACTAAAAAAGCAAAAAATAAAATTAAAAGTAGTACTACTAGCAAGAAAACAAGCCCCAGCAGGGGACATAATTTCAGAAATTATGGCTGCTCAAGAATTATTTAATTCCTCAAAGATTATACTAACAGACATGACAAACAATTGTTTAATCCTCATTCAATTTAATACACCCTGGCCTTTAAGTAGAGTACGAAAGATGAATTTAAGTATTGAAACCCCAGTTAGTAGATTCACGTTTTGCGAAGAAATTAACCAAACTCATTTGGTAAGGAACACGATCGATTTCACCTACTTCTCCTTTGTTTCAATATTACAAACAATTCGATTGGTTTTAAGATTTATATAACGTTAGTGATCCAGATAACGAGTTTGAGTTTCACCAGTTATACTATGAAAAGAGAATTTTGTTTGTATAGTTCACGTGCGATCTGAGAATAACGATTTTTTTAATACATAATTACACTAAACAATCGTGTTAGAATTCAACCGGTGGGAGTTTGAAGACAAGATGAGTAGGCATGCAAATTTTGCATAAGCAATTTGTGCAAAATTACATTGTTGGGTTATACACATCATTCCCCAAATTTGAAAAATAACAACATAGCACGCAGTAATGGTGAAGACATTATTTTTTGGGTTACATGGTGACTAAAAGAAGAAATGCTATAATTGATAAAACTATTGAATGGCCTCGTGTCCGCCTATGTTTGGTTGTACCTGTGAATAGATTTCCTTTGTGGTGAGAAAACATCACAAAAAGGATTTCTGCCAAAAACTTGATCTTGTAGCAGTTGGTCATAATGATAGAGGTTCTTGTACCATTTTCATCAATTAGCATTTCTTATTTATTTTTAAAAAATTTATTTCCTGAATTTTGATAGGGTTCTAAAGAAAATCTGGAAAACAAAGGAGAGCCTTACAAAATGTTTCTTCTTTAGCCAAAAATGGTGATACATGATAATTCCTCTAAGCACTTCTTGTTATCATTTGTAGGAAAATTTGATCATGCCCAATGCTGGCTAGCTGTTCTACACTTTTGATGTTTCAGGTAACTCCATTTGAATGCAAATAATACAACAATCTTAACGACAGATTATTTAAAACAGTATCATTTTAACGATAAATTATTTTCTAATATATACTGTTTTTAAACAGTGATAAGAACTTAGAACTGTCAGAAAAACTGTATCAATATTCCTAATAGCCAGTTCAATCTGAAAAAACATAAAATTCTTGGTTGCTTAATATTATTATTTTCTTTGATAATTTTACTGCCAATGTAAAAATCACACCATGATTGTGCCTTATTCCAAAACCATCCCTTCCTTTTTTACAGTAATGGAAGGAAAGAGAAAAGAGAGAAAAAGCAGATTAGATTAAAAAGGTTGATCCCCGACATGATTATGTTTAGAAATATAGTGGAATACTCCTCCCCAACAGGGCCAAAACACTAAAAACGGGGGTGCTCTTAAGAATCTTCTCTTTCCTACTCTGCAAATTAAAAAACCTCAACCTCATCTTCACAGCATATTTGTAATCTCCTGTTTTTTAGCATTCCTTCCTGAGTTTTTACATTTTTCTGCTTGGATTAGTTTCAGGACATATATCTTAAAGCTTTGTACGTTACTGGGTCTTAAAGAAAAACTTTGATGTCTATGCCCTTTGAAGAACATGATTACATAGGCTTATCAGAGGTTCCTGCAATGGTGAACTCTGAAAAGAATGCCCTTTTGGTAGGAGAGAGCGAGAGGAAGAGTGAGAAAGGTTTGAACTTGAAGGCTACTGAGCTCAGGCTAGGCTTGCCTGGTTCAGAGTCGCCGGAGAGGGAAGCTGGAGGAGATGAAAAGAATGGTCTTTCACTGGGTGGTCTCAAGGGTGGTTTAGTTTCAGGTGCCAAGAGGGGCTTCTCTGACACCATTAATGGTGGTTCTGGCAAGTGGGTTTTTCCTGGGAGTGGTGGATCTGAGGCGGATTTGGCCAATAATGGTGGCTTGTTTTCTCCCAGAGGTGGTAATGGTGCTGAAAATGGCTCTCAGCAGGCTTTTGTTACTTCTGGAGTTGGGAAAGAAACTCTCCCTCAGACTCCCAAGCAAGCTCAGGAGAAGAAACCTCAAGCTTCTGCTGCCCCTGCTGCCAAGTAAATTTCTCGTCTTTATTGCAATTTTTTTTTCCTTTCCGAAGAGCAGTTGTGTCAGGAATTCCGGTGGAATCTTGTTTGATATTAAGCATAGTGTTTTAATTTCAGTTTCTTTTTTTTAATCTTTCTTTCTCCTTAATAAGCTGTTGAAATTTTACCGCATGGATTGCTCAGATTCAGGGATCCTCATGTTCTGCATGTGGTTTCTAGTTTTCTACCTTCAAGGAACAGGACATGAACACTAGTTAATATGTCTATACTTTTCTTTCTGTGAAAATTGCTACTTTTCCAAATCATCTTCATTGTACTTTTGTCTCTCAAAATTCAGTTAGTCAAAGAAGGAAAAAGTACTATGGATGCATTTAATTGAAAGAAAATTGATATCATAGAGCCGGACTTAAAGATTTTTATGTCTGTTTTTGGGGGTGACAGGGCACAGGTGGTTGGATGGCCTCCAATTCGTTCTTTCCGAAAGAACTCAATGGCTATTAATCCTCCTAAGACTGAGGAAGATGCGGATGCTAAATTAGGAGCTGGCTGCCTATATGTGAAGGTCAGTATGGATGGTGCCCCCTACCTGAGGAAAGTTGACCTCAAGACTTACAGCAGCTACAAGGATCTGTCCTCAGCTTTGGAAAAAATGTTCAGCTGTTTTACAATTGGTAATCCTTTGCTAAGCTCCTTCCCTGCTACTGTCATTTTTATTACAATTGAATACTTGTTTCATCTTTTTGAGATCCACAGGATTTTCTTTATCAAGTAGATCAGGAGAACCTTAGGTTGTCATCAGCGTGTTTCTTTGACCTGGATTCCTTGTCATAAGTCAAATAAATTGCACTGTGACATTGACTACCCTGTTAATGTTTCTTCTCAAGTCTCAACATTCCTTAGAAAATTCAGCCTGGTAGTAACTAAGCTTCAATGAAATTTTCCTTGTCATCCTGCAGTTCCAGTGTGAGGAAATGGTAGTGAGTGGTTTTTTATCTATCGATGGTAAGATTTCATCCTGTGTGGGCGGAGCATAAGGTCTACTGTCGCATTGACTTTGACTAGATCTTATCCCCCTTTTGCAAAAACAAGGTGCCAGGTACAAATGTTTATGGGGCTAACAATTAATGGGTAGTGGGACGAATGACCTAACTGAAGTGACATCTTTTTCATTCATGTAATAAGATGTGGTTGGTTCTTTCAAATAGTAGCAGGTATTTTCCTTAACAGTTTCCTGGAGAACTAAAAGTTGTCTAAGACAAATAAGGAAATATCTAGTTTTCCTCTTTGGCGGCTCTCTATATTAAAAGATGGATATCCAATTCTGTTCCACGATTTTTGTAGAGTTATATTTGTTCCTTTTATCTGATTTCTGTAGTTGTAAATTCTATTCATTGCCACTTTAGTAGGTCTCGCAATTACTATGTAAATATCGTAGTGATAAAATTGTGAGCAGTTTCATTTCCAGAATTGATGTTTAGGGATGTGATTTTTACCATACACTTTCTTGTCTTCAGGTCAGTGCAGCTCCAATGGGGTTCATATGCGGGATGGACTGAGTGAAAGTCGATTAATGGATCTTCTTCATGGTTCTGAATATGTTCTTACATATGAAGACAAGGATGGTGATTGGATGCTTGTTGGTGATGTACCTTGGGAGTAAGTATTTCCCCGAATTATTTCTAAATCTACAGGGCTACTAATATCTCTCTAAAAGTCATAAATTTAGATCCAACCACCATAGAGAAAATGCAACGATGTAGAGTTCTCACTGTTTCAACGCGGAAGTTGTGATTCTGTAGTAGTAGACTATTGCCAGTTTAGTCCTTTTATTGTCATGCTGCCTGCTCAGTTTCGGATGACTGATTTTCTGAGATTGCATTTATGGTTGCAGAATGTTTACAGGCTCTTGCAAAAGGTTGAGGATTATGAAGGGTTCTGATGCAATTGGATTAGGTAACCATTTAAGCACATTCCAAATTCTTATTGTTCCTTACCATCTAAACTTTATGAATGTAAAAGTGGTTCTGTTACATTCCCATTGCGATTGATCACAATCATTATGATTGCATGCTTCTCAGCTAAAGAACCATTCCACCTAACTTTAAGATGGCTTTTTCTTTTCGAGGCATTTCTTTAAACCATATGTATAAAAAAGGAGGCTAAGCTTCATTGAACCATAATCATTAATCAGTTTTTGACCAGTCAAAAAAGCAAAAGGACTTTGTAATAATATTTTTTTGCCAACATTTTATTTGTATGTTTGCAGCCCCTAGGGCAATGGAGAAGTGCAAAAACCGTAACTAAGTGCAAAATTCTGCTGCAAAAAAAAAAAGGAAAGGATCAGTTTCCTGCATTGAAAAGAACTCAACGATTCCTTGGTATTGGTCGTGTTGCTGGAAGCCTTGATTTGGTCTGAAAATCAAGCAGTTGGATTTGATTCAAGTGTATGTTATTGTATGTTAAGGTTTTTTGTCTGATGTACTGAAGAACAATTTTAGCAAAAGGAGTTGATGAGTATAAAACCAGAAGATAGTTTTACTCTAGTTATGTTAGAAGAATGTGTACTTTTGTGTACTCTTGAATGCTGGCTCCTCAAAGTTTCAACACTACCTCTATGTATATGTTTGGTTTGTTTGGCTCAAGTCTACTTCCTCCACAGTTGCTTTACAAAATTCAAACCATCCATCATCCAGTTTGGAAGTGAAAAAAACACCAATATTTTCATGCTTGCTAGTGGAAGCGCCAACACAAAATTGGCAAGCAATACAAGCATTTGTTCTAAGCCACTTGTGACTATTATGGAGTATATTATTCATATCATACAAAATAATAATTTTAGGACGAAAAAAATATACATGTTTAGAATCAAAGGTGCTTACATAAAAGTAAATTGAATCCCATTCTCCTAATTTAAGTATTTTGGTTTCTTAATTGCGAGTTTAATATCCTAAATCAGTAAATCCTAGAGCTTAAAAAAGAGAAGATTCAACTCTGTTTGGTTCGTTTTTTGGTTGATTTTTTTAAAAAAATTTTAATTCATATTTGTCCGATCATCGCATAATGTTTTATATTTTCAATACATTTTTTTACATTTTTAATAAAAAAAATTACACTAAAAAACGATCCAAACATACTAAAAACATAAAATCAGAAAGAAATTGGAAAGTCAAGTTGACTTCCCAGCGAGTAAAAGAGAAAATAAGAAGAATATCCATCCTATCTTGGATTTGTATGAATATACGCCGAAATTCCTTCCAGATTGATCTGTTAATTCACTTTGAACTGCAGAAGAAGCGATTCGTATCCTGTTCTTCGTTTTTTTGTTCCATGCCCAGTTAACCAGTAGTTTTTACCAGTGATTCACAAAAAAATTTAGGGCTTCACGGTAAACACCAGCACGCCCAACATTTGGGGGAAGATGAAGCTTAAGCAATTGGAAGGTCTTCTGGGTTCTCTTGAGCAATTCTCCAACCCCAAGGTTTCCGGAAACCTAATCTACTCTCAACTCCAGTCCTGAAAACTCTGTTCTTGCTCATACTATTTGTTTATGCATATATTTCTGCTTGGTTTTCGTGGGTTGTTGCTGAATTATCCTGGCATGTCCTCTTTGGTGCCATTGCAGATTGAATTTGAGCAATATCCAACTGGGCCTCACATTGCATCCCGAATGTTGTACACTGTAATTCTCCTTCATATGCCCTTTTTGTTAGTGTCTTCAGTAGGACTTCTTTTATGGTTAGTCTGTTCCAAATTCTGTCATTTTTTTAGGTGCTAATTCCAGTGTTGTGATTTAGGCTGAGAATTCATTTGGGGATGTGAGCGATAAGGTGGTGGCAGATTTTGGCTGTGGTTGTGGTACATTAGGCCTTGCTGCAGCTCTCTTGGGTGCAGAGTAAGTAAATTTTTTTCGGTCATTCTCTTTCCAGTGTCTTTTATTGTGTTTTTTTTTTTTCGGTTAATAGTTCTTTTTACACCTTCCAATGGTATGTACTGTTCAAAGTTTTTTAACTTTTGCATTACTGTGATCGTGACTCGGGAATGTCATTTCTCTTTCTTGTTTTTGCTTTATTAGATGCCATGCATGTTTTTGGCCATAATTTTTCCTTTTTTTCCCCCCCCTTTGTGTTTTAATTTTGTTCTCTGTGAACAGACATGTTGTTGGGTTTGACATTGATGCTGATTCTCTTGAAATTGCTCGTGATAATGCTGACGAGCTCGAGGTACTGCACTTTGTTTCTTGGACTTGCGCTCTAGCTTCTCTAATCCCCGTGAAAGGAAAAGAAAAAAATGTGAACTGAAATGGGTTGCCTTTAATGTGGGTTAGATGAGATTGATGTTTTTGCTTGATTATGGGAACTGATGACTCAACTGTTGTTTTCCTTGTGTGTTTCGAACTGAATTTGGGTCAACTTTGCAACATCTAAATTCTTTTCCTGGTTTCAAACTAATGTTACAGGTAGATATGGAATTTGTTCAATGTGACATCAGGAATTTAAGCTGGAATGGTATGCCTGGTGTTCCCCTATAGCCTGTTAATTCATGTTCTTGTGTGGAACCTTCGCATTTTGAATACAGAGTTCTCATACCAGTTACTGACTACATTTGCATACATCAAGTCGGGAAGAAACTTTGTTCTTAGGGCTTCATCTAATCACCTATCACTATGCTCCAAGTTGTACTTTTTCACAAATATACAAAGCGAGTAATAGTTGAAATGTTTGGTCATTCTATTGTAGTATCCGCTCCTCTTTGAGAGTTTAAGAATAAAATAAATACAAAAACATTCTCTCCTGATGGATTTTAAGTTGAAAAGAAAAGCTGTTGTTTGCAGAGTTCTTAAATCATCAGCCGATTCCCTATCCTGATGGTTTCTCTGTCACTGACATATATGTAAAGTTGTTTTATTAGGTGTGAGGGATCATAAAGTTGTCTGTTAGATTCTTTCATCCTTCTTGTTATTATGTCTGAATAACTGAGGACTTCTTTTATTATATGCAGGCCAAATAATCAATACTATTGTTATGAATCCTCCTTTTGGAACAAGAAGAAAAGGCGCTGATATGGATTTTCTTAGTGTAGCTTTAAAGGTGGTAATGGAGTGCCATAATTGTCTTACTATGTTTATTTGGTTCAGTCTAAGTCCTGAGTTTATTTTTGTCTCAGGTTGCGTCTGAATCAGTTTATTCCCTGCATAAGACAACGACTAGAGATGTGAGTTCCCCTCTTTGTATGAGAAAGCTTCTTGATGTAACATTTGAGTTTATTCCTTGCATAAGACAACGACTAGAGATGACTGTTTTCCATGCCAGTTACAAGAGTTAAATCTATGGCCTGTATAGCCTCCTAGCGGTTCTAGATTGTGATGATTGATTGAGAAATAAGCTCTGTGGACAGATTAGGTAGTCTCTGTGTGTTCTGGCTGGTTAGCCTTTTATTGTTGGGCTTAGTGACTCTCTATTCGAACTTTTGTTTTGCTGATCATTTTAGTTTTTCATTTGGTGTTTACAGCACGTGAGAAGGACAGCATTGCGAGATTGTAATGCTAGGAGTGCTGAGGTTATATGTGAGGTACATCACATATCGTTTGAGTTCTCTGGCTATTAAATTTGATGATGTTGCTGTTAGAATTTTAAGTCAATAGTTTCCTTTTTCAGCTCCGGTACGATGTGCCACAACTTTATAAATTCCACAAGAAAAAGGAAGTTGATATTGCTGTGGATCTTTGGCGATTTGTTCCTCAGGGAAAACAATAAAATTGGCCTGGGGGTGGACAATCCAGGAGTATAAGTAGATCGTTCAGGCTTTGAAAATGATCAAATACATCTTAAACTGCAACGCAGTTTATGTCATGCAAAGGACTCAAAAGAGGCTGGATCATTGCTACTCACCGTTGGCCCGAGTGGACTTCCGTAGAACTTCGGGAATTTGTGAATCACTCCCTCTGCCCAAGACTGATTATGGATTTTTTGGACAACGCAAGTAAATTTAACCGAGCAGAAGTTATGTTACGGATGTCCTTGCATCTAACATATAGTACTCGTTGATTCTGAGCTTAGTGATTGATATTCTTAACTTATCTAATCTTTTGGGCACCATTTTCAACTGAATGGAAAGAAGCATTGATTACTAATACCGCCATCAATTTCATTTACTCAAGAAACCCTTGATATTAAGTATCCAAAAAAATAGTGTACAAAACTTTGCTATGGAGCTTCCATCAAGGAACTCATTTGGACATACATTTATCTATCAGCCTCTGTCTGAAACAGACTGCACCTAAAGGTATCTTTCATGGTTTTACAACATCCGAGAAAAAGGGAATAGGACGAAGAGGTGAGAAAGACTTGTCTAGATAACAACAAAATGAATATGAATACACGAATTTGCCATTCTCAATAACAAAATTTACCGTTTTCTTCCAACGCCAGCCCTTCGGAAAGTGAAAGTCAGAGCACTTAGTTTACTGCAACAGCTGGTTCTTCTTCACTTGATTCTGCCGGTTTACTTTCCTCACCGAGAGTAAATTTGGTGAATCTTCTAACTTTTATGTTCTCCCCAAGAGCCGCAACGGTTTGCTTTACCAAGTCTTTTACCAGCAAGCTGTCATCCTTGATGAAAGGCTGTTCCAGAAGAGCAAGCTCACCAAGCCTCTTTGATATCCTTCCTTCGACAATTTTCTCCCTTATATTCTCAGGTTTCGACTGGAGGTCCTCTCTCTGCATCTCCAATTCTTTTTCCTTGTTAACAATTTCAGCAGGAACATCTTCAATAGACACATATTGTACCTGGGGACAGGCTACAACTTGCATTGCTAGATCGTCAACTAAAGTCTTGAAGTTTTCACTTCTGCCAACAAAGTCAGTTTCACAGTTGACTTCAATAAGAACTCCAATGCGAGCATCATGGATGTAGGATCCAATCCTGCCTTCAGCTGCAAGTCTGCTGGATTTCTTGTCAGCAGAAGACAGACCCTTCTTTCTCAGATATTCCTGTGCCTTTTCAAGGTCCCCACCAGTTTCAGAGAGGGCTTTCTTGCAGTCCATCATACCTGCTCCAGTTTCTTCTCGCAGTTGTTTGACCAGGGAAGGAGAGATAGTTGCTTTCACAGGCCTACACAGAAATTTTTGGATAAGCTTTCTATTGATCACCTGAAGACTACAAATAGAGAGAGCATAACGTTCTCCAGAAAATTTGAAGGCAAAAGCCAGAAAGGTAGTCATGTCAAGGTCATGTATCCACGTGGCCAGTAAAAATCTAAAAGCCTTTGCTCCTCTTTGGCAGATGCTAAAAGAGATTGCAAGCATGCAAATAAGCAATGAAGAAAAATTTAATTAAATAGAAGTTAACACATTTGGACTTATTTCTTGGTTCTGTTCAATGCAATGAAGCAGTGTTAACTAACATCATGTGTTGCGTAAAATTCACTATAAGCTCATTACAACAATGGAACAAAATGATGTAAACATCAACAGTTTGAAGGCTTGGACTAATAAAAGTAAAGCGGATATAAAAATTGACATGTTTATTTAGTATGCACAATAGAAGTTGGTTCTAGTCAGTTCATTAAAAGTCCTAACCTGATACTCTAATTGGTGAATATCAGGTCTATAGACCCTCATTGTCTCCATACAAAAGGGAAGAATTTAATTTTTCATAATTCTAAAAACTGCTAAACCATTGAATATTTGTAATATTATATTTGACCGACAAAGAGCAACAGGAAATGGACAAGATCATAACAATTTCACAATAACTTACTTCTCAACAGATTCCGGAGTTTCAGCAGGAGCAGCAGCAGGCTCCTCCTTAGGTGTAGTTGGTTTGGCTGCAGTTTGGGCAGCTACCTCTGCAGCAAAATCTTGGCTTTTCTTTTCTAATCCTTCTCCGAGGTTGTATCGTACAAACCTGTTCACTTTTATGTTTTCCCCAATTGTAGCTATGGTCTGCTTCACATAGTCTTTAACCACAATTTTGTCATTCTTGATGAAAGGCTGCTCCAGCAAGGCCAGCTCATCCAGCCTTTTCTTGATTCGGCCATCAACAATCTTTGACCTGATCTGCTCGGGTTTTGAAATTAGATCTTCCTTCTGCATTTCAATTTCTCTTTCCTTTGCGACAATCTCTTTTGGAACATCATCTGCAACCAGATATTGTACTTGAGGGCAAGCAGCAACTTGCATAGCCAAGTCTTCAACCAATTCTTTAAAGATGTCACCCCGAGACACAAAATCCGTCTCACAGTTCACCTCAATCAAAACACCAATCCTACTATCATGGATATACGAGCCAATCCTTCCTTCAGCAGTAGTCCTACTGGCTTTTTTATCTGCGCTTGCTAACCCTTTTTTCCTTAGGTACTCCTGAGCCTTAACCATGTCCCCACCAGTTTCTGAAAGTGCTTTTTTGCAATCCATCATACCTGCTCCAGTTTCTTCACGCAACTGCTTCACAAGAGCAGGTGATATTGTTGCTGCATGCACATACAAGTGGAGATTACAGTTGGGAATGGAATTCCTTGCTAAGATATGCTATAACATAATCTAGTTTGAAGATCATTATTTATTGAGTAACCCTGAAACTAAAGGGCTCGAGGAAATCTTCGAATAAAGCTCAGACAAAAAGTTAATTGTATATAAGGTTAAAATGGGAAAATTATACAGATCAAAATAAATTGAACAGTTAATGTGGGATTGATTTCAAGCGGAAATATTGTGTACCATAGCATCAAGCATACATTTCTTAAAGGTTCATCTTCTACTTATACTGGAATTAACACATTCTTTGGCACCAGCACATTAACAATTAACATTTCACTGACAAAATAGATACAAACCTTTGGTAGATGTTTCTTTCTGCACTGTAGCATCACTTTTCTCAGTTAGCTCTCCAGTTGTTTCAATCTTTGCTACTTCATTGGTGATAGCACTCTCATTTTCAATGACTTCAGGCACATCCTCTGAATGAAAATTTTCTAATTTCATGAGAATCAGAAACAAGACTAGGTATTATAAAATTAAGGCGATAAAATCCTAGTTACTAGTAGGCCACTTAGTACTCAGGAAAAAACATAGACCAGAAAGTATCTAGCTTTAATTTTTTTTTTTTGTTTTTTTTTTGTTTTTTCGTTCCTTAACTTTTAGGCCACTTAGTACTGATAGTGCATATTCCCCAGGCAATTGGAATGAATGACAATTTCTGAATAACAATTTCTCCAGAAGCCAAGATTAAATCAAAACCAGTGCCACCTCTTCCATTTGATTGCTACAAATAAATGTTCTAAATTCATATTTTTAACCCATATTTGAATAGCTATCAGAAGCCAAAAGAATTTAAAAAACTAGCAGCTACTAATAAACCGATTAATGTTCCACCAGACCTTTTCCAAGTCTTTCGGGACTGGAAGGAACATCAACTTGTTCACCTGGAGAAGAACCATTTGTCTCCAGGTTAAGTACCTCTGGCTCGTTGACCTCTTCAGGCACAGAAGCAAGTTCCTCCTGGATAGAATTCTCATTTTTCAGTTCATCTTTAACTTCATCTTCTGCACCATCAGAAGGAGGAAGTGCCTCAGTTACGTCTTCTACATTGGAAAGGCTAGCTGAAGCAGCAGGTGCCTCGGAGGTAACTTCAGATTCTTCAACTTTAAATTCATTTTCAGCACCATCAGAAGGGGGAAGTGCCTCGGTTATGTCCTCTACATTGGACAGGCTAGCAGAAGCAGCAGGTTCCTCAGAGTTAACTTCGGATTCTTCTAAGCCTAGGGTTGCTCCATTGATACTTTCAGAGGAATCGGAAGCCACATCAGCATTTTCGTCATCCACGGCATCTGTCACGGCAGATGTTGTACTTTCAGGGGGCAATGTCTCAGTCTTTGATTCTTCATCTATGGTTTTGGCTGCGCTATCCACAACTTGTGGAGAATCAGATGGTAAGATCTCCTGCTCCTCATTCTTATCTGTAATTTCAGTATTATCTACCACCTCATTTTCCTGCAATTTATCAGTCACCATCTCCACCGAGCCTTCATCTTGTGCAGAGTCAGAGACTGTTTCATTCTTCTCTGTAGTTTCAGTCTTGTCTACCAAATTGGTGGAGGGATCATTTGGTTTCTCCTCTTTGAGTTTCTCTTGCTCATCCAGAAATGCAGCTATATCTTTGTTTCTCTGGAATGCCAGTACAAAGGGGTTGGTAGCAGCATGGACAACACCCTGCACTGTCTCAATCTCTCCAGAAGCATCCTCTTTCTTCATTGTCAATTGGACCTTTCCCCTATTAATGTTCAGAACACGGACTTTTACTTCTTGTCCAATCTGAAGCAAAGATCCTTCCACAAAACTTCCAACGTCATCAGCTTCCTCAGATGACGGAAGGAAACCTTCCTCCCCTTCAGGTAGAGATATAAAAGCTCCAGATCTGACTACATTTTTAACAGTACCCTCAAGTTCTTGCCCTTTCACAAACTTGCTTTTCTTCACCTCATCTCTCCTTTGGTTGGTCTTCCTGGGAGCTCTGGATGTAGTATTAGGGGCATCTTTCTGCTTTTGATTCTTGCTAGCATCGTCACTCCGCATTGTGAGAGAGATCCTTCCAGTTTCAGTGTTGGCTTCAACTAATTTCACAGTCACTTCTTGTCCAACCGAAACGACATCACCAACATCCTTCACGAAGCCATCACTCAATCTCGAAACATGAACAAGGCCATCAGTGAAAGCACCAAAATCAACAAAAGCACCAAATGGCTGGATTGATCTCACTTTTCCGACAAAAGTGGCACCAGGAATCAATTCTTCATTCTTAACTGGTGGCATTTCGCTCTTCCTACCGGGTCTAGTACGCTTAGTTTGAGAATTTGTGGGGCTGGCATCAGATTTTGGGGATGGACTTTCACTTGTTTCAGTGGTCGGTGATGGAGTTTCCAATACCTCACCAAGAACATTTTCGGGTGCCGACACCTCAGTCTCTTCCACTGCTACATCAGCATTGGTTGCAGCTACTACATGAGTTCTTAATCTAGGATGTAAAGCACATCCAATCCTAAACTGAGGGAACAGCCTAACCGACGTGGACATTGGTAGTGTACATCTATGAGAAAGCAAAACTTGTTTCCTTGATTTTCGTAAGCCATTGCATGTGGTTAGAAAACTGTCCTTTTTGTTAATGAAGGCATTTCCTGGAGAAACTAAATGAATGCTACATGAACTAGCAGGAAGAGGTGCCATATTCGTTTATGAAGGGAAAAAAATTGATATGGATTCCTGGTCAAGAACAACTTCCCACAAATTAATCACCTGCAAATCATATTGAACATGTAAGTTCTCAAATCTTAAATCTCAAGTCATAAAGAATACCAATTAGAAGGATAATTCTATTTTCATGGTTCAAGGACCGTGAAGTACATTGGAGCATCCGCCACTCCCACCACATTTTTACATCTTTAACATTTTCCAAGGGAATGTAAAAATTAGCTCCACAGAAAAGGTTCAACTAGAAAGAAAGAGAAATTAAGTAGCCGAATCCTTCAGAAATGAAATTACAGAATGTAACATCGAGGGAGGGAAAGAATCCCAACTAAAACAGAAACTAGTTACGGCCACAGACTGAGAATAACAAATGAGCATAGTTACATGAGAAGCGTAATTACCTTCAATGGTGCAATCAAACAAATTCGGGAAAATTCACAATCCTACACACAAAAACAACCTAGGCCAATTAACAAGCACCTGGGAAGCACCCTGAAACTTCCCCAAAGTATCATTCTAGCTCCAAAAGAAACAGCTTCTTTTCAGCAAAAACACAATTTACAAATGAAGTTGAACTTAGTTGAGCAACAAAATTCATGCACCAACAAGATAATTTAGCGGTGGAAGTGTACCAAACGGATATACAACATTATCAAGAAAAGTCAATTTACAAGTGGAAACAATCATCATCCAAACAAACAATCAACAGGGGAGTTAATCACTCTCCCGCTTCGAAGTATTAGTACCTTTTGAGTTTGAGGTATTCAAAGGGTTACTGTTAGTTCATAAAAATGCAGTCTTTGGGAAAACCCGTCACCATTTCCCGGTGAAGTCTGCCACTCAAAACAATAGCATACAGTTAACAAGGATGTCTCTGGCTTTTTCAGTGGTGCAACTGCATAAAGGAGAGGGAAGAGGGAAGAAATGAAAGGTGGGGCTTTAATAAAATCCTTATCTCATCAACATCATCCTTCATCAATCATCTTTCTGGTATATCAGTAGGTAAAAAATTTGGGATGTAAAAATTGGAGTATGGACCAAAGGGACTGTTTTGAATGGATATACGTCTGTGGCCATTGTCTCATTAGCCATCTGACCATCTCTGTAATTTCTTCTTTTTCCCTTCTTCGCAACCTTTTTTACTCATACATCCCCAAAGTTTCCGGAAATTGATAATCATCTTCTAAAAGTTGTGAACACTCTATGTTTGTATTGTATGGTTTTCTTAGTGTGTCTTTTTTCTATTGGGAATGTAAAAACATATTTTGAAAATGTAAAAAAAGTATACTGGAATGGTACAATTATTAATAAAATAATTTGAAAAAAAACCAAGCAAAAAAAGGAAACAAACAGATATTCCCTTTTACTATTCTGTTTTGAATTTTTATAATTTGAACTAAAAATGAAAATTTAAATCAAACAATTATTTTGGGACAGATGGAGTATTTATTCTAGTGTAGTGAGTGTAAACACTCTTTATATTCTATTGCGTCATTTTTTTTTAATGCGATCCTATGCTAGTAAACTAAATTCTAAAGTTGAAATGAAATTTACCATTTACCGAAAAAGTCCTATGGTGTTTTTTTTTTTTTAGTAGTTTTGATATCTTAAAAAATGGTCGGTTACAAATGATTAGAAATCATCCGTTTGTATTAAAAGTGTCAGACATACAATTGTCAGAAACGACCTATAATAAGAGCTTCTATAATGGTTTATACTATTGTGAGTGTAATGTCATTAATTTTCAATATTATACTTTTATTCTACTTTTCACTATATTGGTTTACACCGTAAAAGTATAATAAAATGAAATAATTTTAGTATTATCATAAATTCAAATTAAATGTATTTTAACACTAAAAAGTGTATTACACGGTGTAAGAATTGTTATACCGTATAATATTATTACACTCAACACAATGACAAATAATATAATAAAATAGTTATTTATTTGTTATTTAGCACCATTGTGGATGCTCTAAGATCATTACATGCCTGATTAATATTGATTATTTTATAAATCTAAGATTTTTATTTATTTATTTACTTTTGTTTTGGTAACTGTAAAGCAAAAATGATATAACTATTTAATGAAAGCGATCAAATAATGTAATGAAAATCAATTCTTATATCGTGCACCTGGTTCACTGTACTTGGTGCACGGCTAATTAATATATTATAATTAAGGAAGGAGCAATTAATTAAAATGGTCGTAATAATTTAATTAATTTCTCTTTCCTTATTTATTTTTTTCATATCATCTTTACAAATTCAAATAAAGTAATCTTTCACTAATTTTGAAATTATCTCCCCATCTATACTAAAACGTATATTAAGAACGAATATCCCAATTTTCACATATTCATGGACCATAATTTTTTTCATGTTAGAACCATCTTATGTTCATGTCATGTATGTTCAAGTTTTATGACATTAAATTAAAACTATGAAATTAACAAAAAAAGGTTTGCTAATTTTATATCCATACTCATATGATACAATATTCCTGAAAGATTATTCAATTGCTCAAACAAATAAAAATAGATTAACCAGGTCTTGTATTATAAAATATCAAATGTTCATACCCACATCATAGGAAATTCATTACTGAGAACTGTGTTATTCATGTCATTTATATCTAAATTTCATTACTTCAAAAAAAAAATCACAAATGAAAATTTATGATAATTAATGTGATGTTCACACACGTATTGGACTATTCATAAAAATTGGGAAGTATGAATAAATTAATTTTGTGAGCTTGTAAAATATAAATGTTCATACTCATTGCAGAGAATATTCATGAATGCTAATCTCGTTTTTCATATTACGTGTATTTAAATTTTACAAGTTTTCATGACACTGATAAGATTATTCCTAAATAAAAAAAATGTAAACACTATATTCATACTCATGTAAATTAGTGTTCATGAAAATTATGCAAATTTTCATACAAAAAAAAAAGAAAAAAAATATTTATAAGTTATTTAGAAATTTATATAAACCTATTGAGAAATTCATGATTGAGAGTCATTTTTTTCATAACATAAAATATCAAGATTTCATGACTTGTGATTAAATTTAAATTGTTTTCAATTATCAGTTTACGTTAGTAATTATGACTTAGAACATTAATTCTTTTGAATTTGAAAATATGATTAAAGAATTGAATGTTGAGAGAGAATGGAGCAATGTAATGGCAATTTAATTAATTTTTCATTCTATAATTAGGTTACATTAATAAGACAAGTGCACCAAGAATGGTGAACCTTGTTCACCATATAAATGTAACATTGTTTCCGTTTTAATACATATGGGGGATTCTGAAGAATGAAGAAGACCAAGGGGGGAGATATTGAATGATCTATTTAACCTTTTGGTAGTTACCATGTCCACATAATACATGAATCCAGTTTAACGAACTAATGACAACTAACATTTAATTATGCTGTTAAGATAGAGATAAGTGATGATATTCACTATAAACAGTGTTCAATTACAGATTTACCTTCAAACACTGATATGAAACAAATTCAAAGGGTACAGAACTGCAATTTTCAGAATCATCAATTTTAATTTCGACTAATCTACTATCATCTGTTTTTTTTTTTTTTTTGAAAATGTATCATCTGGTTTTAAGAAGTGCTTTTTGAAGGTTTTAAGAAGTGCTTTTTTGATTTTTTTTGGAAAAAAAATGAAGGAAAACAAAAATGTGAAAGGCAAAACCACAAAAGGGGGCTCAAACTGCACCAGAAAGCCCAAGGGACAGAAACTGGTTTCGGCCATCCAGATTCCAGTCAACCGAAAGTTTTTGTATAGTATGGAACAATCCAAGCCCAGGAAAATTTGAGTAATTGGTCTGATTGGGCCTTATTGCCTTTTTTCATGGACCTATAGTCAAGCAGTCTCGGGATCAAAGTCTTTCTGGAGCAGAGGCTACTCCAGAAGACGTTTCAACTTGATTTTTCGTCTTTCATTAGATGTCGGAATGAGGCGACGGATTCGTTAGCTAAATTATGTATAATGTGTTTCACTTTCACATATTTTAGCAAATCACCCTAGTGGAACATTAGAAAATACTTCTCTTTAGAGGTTCCTAGTCCAACTTAAAAGTTGGTATATAAACTTGATTTTTCGTCCCTATTGTTGATGGCGTATACTGCAATGTATTACACTTTTTCTATTATTTTTTTTTTTCATTCTAGGAAGTTGATGAAAATGAAATTGAAAAATTCAATTGTTGAAGATGAGTACAAATGTTTTATTCAATACAATAAACCAAGTATGGTAACCATTTAACTCAAAATGGATTTTTTTTTAAAGAAAATTCTCTTAATAATTAACATGGTTTTAAACCAGTATGGCAAGCAAACGAGATTACATATTTGGTGGGAGAGTTTCTAGCTTTCAAAAAATTAGCCCAAGTATGTGTTATATGCATGCTTAGGCTCCTATACTGGGAAAAATTGAAAAGAAAAGAAAATAAACGAAAAAGAATAGAATTCTTCAAAGACTAAAACTATATCTTACGAAAGTTAGGTCAAAGTATTATGTCAGTTTAACTATGATCAAGAATTAAATTTAGGCATTTACATGTAATAGTGATTAAAATATTTATTGGTAGAGTTTTGCCTCGCAAAAAATTTACTCGGCTCGAATCCAGAATAGTGAGAACAATAATTCTGGACACTAAATGCATTATCAACCCACCCAAAAAAGCCGGTTAAATTCCACTTCTTATACTAATGAGTAAACAACACTTGAAATTTATTGTTATGCGCAAACCAGCTGTTAGCTAGCTAACTACGTTAAACTGAAACCCTATACACCTACAACAACAAAACCTTTCTCATTATTTTGGAATGGACTGTACATATAGATCGTCAGATATATATTTATTTACCGTACTCAGACAATACATGCAAATCTTCATTCTTTTTTTTTTTTTTTTTGTTTTTGGTTCAACATTCAAAATTTTGAATATTACAATAATTTCATTTTCCATAGTTTCTTCCCATTTTTTAAAAGATCTTTCCCTTCCCCTATCAATGTAAAGTTGTAAACCATAGACTGCAATCTTCCCGGGGGGTAAAAAGATAAAAACAAAAAGAACTTCCATCGACTTCATGATTGTTAATACTTAAATAGTGGCAACTTGCGAGATTGATGTGAGAATTGGGTTGGACTTTGGAGTTAAGCTCGGAAGTATTTGTTTCGTTTTTTTATACGTGTTTTTAGGTTTTTTTTTTATATTAAAAATGTAAAAAGGTGTATTGAAAATGTAAAAAGATATGTTGGATGGGACAAATATTATTATATTATTATGAGAAAACCATGAGAAAAAAGAAACAAACAGAGCCTTAATTTCTTTCATAGACATTGGTCCCCAGGAGAGTAATCCCATAATTTTCCGGTTTATTTTTACACATTAAAAAGCGACATCGGAGAAGATTCCATATCAAAAAGGCGGAATTGATGTTTGCTCAGACTCCGGATCTGAATGATGCCATAAAATTCATACATGTAAAAGTAAAGTACATATAACAACGCAAAATGGATCTTGAATTTTGTACTTATAAATGATTTTCGACACTCATTTGCTGGGCTGTAGTCGTGATCAAGTTGCCAAAATACCCCATGCTACTGCAACAAAAAAACCTTTATATTAAAGAACAGCTCGATTCCATTTTAAGAATCGTAACCAAATTGACTTTCTCTGTCGTAGATTTGATGATCATTAATTAAACCCTTTGTAATTGCACAACTTGTACTTGTTGAAAAAATTT